GTGATGTCACAGAGGAAGCCTGATCATGTGACCCCACTGAGTGCCAGCAGGCTCTTTGACTGCAGAGATCATGTCTGCTGAAGCAGGAGCAGCTCCTCCTGGTTACTCCTGACGCACAGCTGTCTTGTTTGATGAATCTGCTTTCAATTCTGAAGTAGAACTGAGGTTCTTTGTGCTTTTTTATGGGAGGAATCCCAGCCTGATTTTCCCCCTGCTTGTCCTGTGCAGAGACTCTGGCTCTGTTCACACGGGCTTCAGACTGCAGTGTCCTGCAAACCCAGTGAGAGAGCAGAAACAAAGACCAAGAACAGGACAAACCTCAGAGGAATTGTTCTCCTTCCCCTTTTAACAGAGACTGGACACATGAAAGGTCATTTGAGTAATTCTGTGCTTTGTGCTGAGTGAAAACATTGTCTTCACTAAAGAACTCGTTTGTTAAGCATGCAGCTCACATTATGGAATTTCAGCATTGAAACAGCTTTTAACTCCATAGAAATATTTACATCAGTTATGTCATATTTTCAATGTATGTAAACCTAAATTCAAGTTATTCCTAATATATCCGTTTAAAGATCATTGTTGAAATGTACAGATCCTGTGTCGTGTGGAATTGCTGGCCATTAGATACATTGGTGTTTTTTTAGTCTAAAATGTTTTTTTACATACAATGTAAGAGTCAGGGATCTTTTAAAGAGCCTTTCTGCAGTTAATCCTTCTAATTTTGTGGGAAAGTTATGCATGTATCTATCCTTTAATTGTTCTGTTGTCAGTGGGATCCTGTGGTCATGTGTTTTGCTTCAAATTTGTTGGCTGGAAAGCAACTAGACAGTTCATTCAGTATTCAACTTTTAGCTCCTTCTTTTTGTAATGTTTCTTCAGAAAAGCTTGTGAATATCTTCCATACAAAGTGTCTTCTTCACTTGTTTGTCTCATAAATCCTTAATATGACTCTGAATAGTTGTTGGAACATGTGTCATGTGTCCCTCTAACTTCAGCAGTCTGACTACTGCCTGCTCCACTCCTCCACTCTGTCCCCTTAACACTGTGCACTCCACACTTCCTGCTCCACTCCTCCACACTGTCCAATCCACTCTGTCCCCTTAACACTGTCTCCTCCATTCTGTCTCCTTAACACTGTCAACTTATCACATTCCTCTCCACACTTTCCACTCAACACTGCCTCCTGAACATTGTCTCCTCCACGCTGACCTCCCCACACTGTCCACTCAATGCTGTCTCCTAAACACTGTCCTAACAACACTGCCTCTTCCACTCCTCCATGGAGTTCACTTAACACTGTCCACTCAACACTATCCACTCAACATTGTCCACACAACACTGCGGGAGTGATGAGTCAACAGAAACTATTTGATCTTTCTCTTCCAGCTCAGTCCTTCCCACCAGAATTTTTATAGACGTGTCTTTGTTGTCTCCCACCTTGTCTTGCATTCAGTAGCTCAGAGAGAGAAACACTAAACAACACAGGAAGAGGAAAAACCTCAAGGTGACAGAGGAGAAACTTCAGTCAGACCCTCATCAAGAGAGGATAAACTTCAGTGAGACCCTCTCTAGGAGACCTTCATCAAGACAGAGAGGAGAAATCTCTAGGAGACCCTCATTAAGACAGAGGAGAAATCTCTAGGAGACCATCATCAAGGAGGAGCAGAGATGGGTTTAGCGTTAACTTGCTTTATTAGGAGAATTCGCCTGGCTGAGAGGATGACCTGTCAGAGGAGGAAGAGCCATGGAGCCTCTATGAGGGGAATGATGGGGTGAAGGGGGAGGGGTATTTACAAGTCGGGGGCGAGATTAGGGTTTGACCCCCTCCTGGACTTTCACTGACAGTTCCATTGATCCACAAGAGGTCTCGAGCGCCAGGCGTCCTACTCATATCTGCACTGTGCTGAAGCAGCCCGATTGGCTGCTGGGTGACCAGAACTCCGTCTGTCTTTAGTGCGGAGTGCGAGTGCAAATCCAGGCGTTAGGAGGTACTGCTGCAGACGTGTGAATGGTGCATTAAATCAGGCAAAGCAAGACCACTTAAAATGCAAACTACACTTTTATTGCAGCTTAATACAAGCACATGTGAAAAGCAATATATCTCCAATGTCATATCTGTTAGCTGAATAGTACATGCTGTATTCAGAAGCTCATTGTTTATTCCATCACATATGTGCCAAAGACCCTACCACCCACTCAAGAAGAGGATATAAATATGAGACATGTATCTGTGGGTCAGAGCCTGAAGCTCATGGCCAGTCGCCCTCCTGCTGTCCCGCTCACTGGCGGCCCCTGCTGGCCGTGACGAGGAGCAGGTCGCTGTACGAGTCCTGGCAGCGCGTGTCCTTGCAGCCGCACTCCTCGATGTGGGTGTAGGTGTAGGGCACGGAGGAGCCATCCACACACTGCAGGGTCACGCTCCTCTGGCTGGTGCTGAGCTCCTGGCAGCAGCTGCACTTGTGCTGCATGGCGTTGGCCTCGGAGGAGTACCTGGGGGGGACAGCACGGGGGTCAGGGCCTGGGGGCCCGCGGGGAGGAGCCGCAGGGCAGTGTGGACACACCTGAGCGCTGGCCATGGACAGGGACAGGCTCCACCGGTCTCCACTGCACAGACTCTGAAAGGAGTTCCTGTGATGGCACTGACTGAGGGGTGGGGTTCCCTACTGGACGAGGACTGCATGTGTCTGAGATGATGAAGGACTGAGCTCTTGTCTCAGACACATCAGTAAAGAATTAAGATGTTCTGATCCTCTGCAGGCGAAATAATAATAAAATAATATAGAAAAACATATAAAGGTGAAGCCTGTGGACAGTGGGGTACATCACACTGGAGAGGAGCTGACTGAGACTGGGGGT